GTACTCCTTCCACCGCCCGATAATGTCCCCAGTCGAGGTCAGCAGCCTCCCACCCCCACTGTAAACAGTGTTGGCGAAGCACTGCTTCCCCCTCCTGAGGCGCCGGATGGTTTGCCAGAATCGCTTCAAGGCCAACTGGTAGTCCATCTCCATGGCCTCACCGAACTCCTCCCAGGCCCGAGTTTTGCCTCTGCCACCGCCCGGTCCGTGGCACGCTTGGCCTCACGATACCTGTCAGCCGCCTCAGGAGTCCCACAAGCCAACCACAGCCGATAGGACTTCTTCTTGACAGCGTCCCTTACTGCCGGTGTCCACCACCAGGTTCGGGGATTGCCGCCGTGACAGACACCGCAGACCTTACGGCCGCAGCTACGAGCGGCAGCATCGACAATAGATGCAGAGAACATGGTCCACTCGGACTCTATGTCTCCATCATCCCTCGGAATCTGGTCAAAGCTGTCCCGGAGGTCAGAGTTGAATACATCTCTGGCCAAGGGCTCCGCCAGACGTTCCCAGCAGACCCTCACTATGCGCTTGGGCCTGCCAAGTCTGTCCAGCTTTCACCTCCTCCAATGGATCCAACTCACCACCAGGTGGTGATCAGTGGACAGCTCAGCCCCTCCCCCTTTACCCGAGTGTCCAAAACATGCGGCCGAAGGTCTGTTGATACAACAACAAAGTCAATCATTGACCTCATGCCTAGGGTGTCCTGGTGCCAAGTGTACTGATGGACACCCTTATGTTTGAACATGGTGTTCATTATGGACAATCCGTGACTAGCACAGAAGTCCAATAACAAAACACCACTCGGATTCAGATCGGGGAGGCCATTCCTCCTGATCACGCCTCTCCAGGTGTCACTGTCGTTTCCCACGTGGGCTTTGAAGTCCCCCAGCAGAATAATGGAGTCCCCTGGAGGGGCACTATCCAGCACCCCCGACAGGGACGCCAAGAAGGCCAGGTACTCCACACTACCACTCGGCCCGTAGGCCGAAATGACAGTCAGAGACCTGTCCCCAACCCGCAGGTGCAGGGATGCGACCCTCTCATCCACTGGGGTAAACCCCAACACGAGACGGCTGAGCTGGGGGGCAACAAGCAAACCCACCCCAGCCCGCTGCCTCTCTCCTTGGGCCACTCCAGAGTAGAAGAGAGTCCAGCCCCTCTCGAGGAGATGGGTTCCAGAGCCCATGCTGTGCGTGGAGGCGAGCCCGACTATTTCTAGTCAATATCTCTCAACCTCCTGCACAAGCTCAGGCTACTTCCCCCCCCAGCGAGTTGACATTCCACGTCCCTAGAGCCAGCCTAAGCATCCGGGGATCGGGCCGCTGAGGTCTTCACCTTCGTCCGCCACCCAATCCTCTTTGCACTGGTCCCTCACGGTTCCCCCGGCAGGTGGTGGGCCCACTGGGGGATGGCCTCGCGTCTCTCGTTCGGGCTTGGCCCGGCCGGGTCCCGCGAGGAGAAACCCAAGTGCCTGTCCACTTAGAGGAAGAAAAATGAAGATTAAGTCGTATTTTCTTCAAGAAATCACTCGTTGTTACCAGAAGAAACATCTCCATCCGGTGCATGGATGAGCCTCCGTCTTCAAAGCCTCTCCAAACTCATTAGTTTCAGCATCAGGGAAAGACAGGTTGAGTTGATTGATTCATTTCTATTATTGAAATTATTATGTGTTGCTGAATTTAAGCTGTTACTGACCCCTGCAAAAGCGTTACTAATTAAAGAAAGCATATAAAATTCTAAATAAATCGTGGACATCCAATTATTTGAGTCACCTTATTTTTGGTTTTTCATTGGTGGAAGAAAGTCTTGTTGCCTGGTTCTAAGAAATTTTAGGAGGTTTTTATAGGTTGCCTTAGCCAAGTTTGTTAAAACAGCACCCTTGGGGCTCGTGCCGAGCCACTAAAATTAACCTAGCCCATATACCAAGAGCCAGTTGTAATATTAGGGAATGAGCAGCCGTGAACAGAAGTGACTGTCGAAGTGTGAATGACTGCTGTGGGCTACTCATTCGTCCAGACCTCCAGTTGAAGAAGGGCGAGACTTTTGTATGAAGGCTGTCAGAGGCTAGGCGAGTCATTTCCCGACATCAGCTTAAACAGAACTTTCAGTAAACCGGCTTAGTAAGATCTTTCACGTTTAGGGAAGTCCGGACCCGTTGGACGGAGAGCTGGATTGAGCAATCCCCTCAGACATAGGGAAGTAGGAGGGAGGGGTTAGCTCATCGGACAACGAAACGACTTAGTAACTTCTATTACAAAGATGAAAAGCACTGTTTTCAAATCATTATGAAATTTAACATTAACAGTTTTTTATCCTTTTCTTTTATAAATGTCTTTTTATATTTCTAATGGAGTAAATACTGCATTTGATTAATTTCCAAAATAGTAAAAAACAACTTTAGTGGTTTGATGCATCCTGAATTAAATGTTAAAAGGTTAACATATAATTGTTTATGCAGGATAATTATCAAATCCTCATGTGGTAATTAAGGCCTAAAGACAAACAGTACAGGCCTAGAATTCTAACCTACAGTGATAAGGTGAGGTGCACTGGATGTCATAGATTTGATGAGAAAACGTTTATTTCAGTCATTAGAGACTTGACTCGGAGTTTCCCCTTCTTGTCTGTGTCGGGGCACCACCTGATTATCAGGAAATGAATCCACTGTTTTTGTGAGTCCTGTGTACAAAGCTGCCCTAAAGTAGAGGTGCCCCACCTTTCTGACAAGGCAAAAGTAAGAGAGAGAGTTGTGTTAACTTAACCTCAGGTTAGAGTCTTTTACACTTCATCTAAGCCTCCACAATTACATCTCCAATTCCAATGAAGTTGGGATGTTGTGTAAAACGTAAATAGAAACAAAATACAATGACTTGCACATTCTGTTCATCCTAGATGCAATTGAATACATTACAACAAGAAAATTGATGTTCAGAGTGATAAACTTTTTGGTTTTTTTGCAAATATTCACTGATTTTGAATTTAATGCTTGCAACAAGGTCCAGAAAAGCTGGGATAGGGGCATGTTTACCACAGCGTTACATCGCTTTCCTTTTAACAACACTGCACAAGTGTAGTGACTCAGCACTCTGGGGTCTCCACTGTCCTATTTTGCGCTTCATAATGCACCGCACATTTTTAAAGGGAGACAACTCTGGACTGCAGGCAGGCCAGTCTAGTATCCGCACTCTTTTACTACGAAGCCGCGCTGCTTTTAACACATGCAGAATGTGGTTTGGCATTGTCTTGATGTTGCTTGGATGGCTGCATATTTTGCTCCAAAACCTGTATGTACCATTTTGCATTAATAGTCCTTTCACAGATGTGCAAGTTACTCGTGCCATGGGCACAAACACACCTCCGTACCATCACAGATGCTGGCTTTTAAACCTTACACCCAAAACCATCCGGTTAGTCCTTTTCCTCTTTGGTCCTCCGGACCTATGCACATTTATTTTGTTGATGCCCCTGTTCCAGCAATTTTGGAATATGTTGCAAGCATCAAAATGGGTGAATATTTTCAAAAAAAACAATAATGGTTGACAGTTTGAACAATAAATAACTTGTCTTTGTAGTGTATTAAATTGAATATAGGTTGAACATAACTTGCAAACCAATGAAATCTGTTTTAATTTACATTTTACACAACGTCCCAAAGTCATTGGAATTGGCGTTGTATTTACTTGGCAATTTAGCCACCTACTGAGTCAGAGAGGTACTGTTGTAGGTACTGGTTCTACTTGTGCTTGTGGGGGTACAGACTTCGGTCCTGTAATCTTCATGTCTTTAAATTGGGATAGATTATTCACCCCCAGTGGGGTTATTCCCCGCTATAGTTGGACTCAGACCTGAACCTTCAGAGACACATAAAGACAGTCACTAAGTTGGCCTTCTATCACCTGAAGAACAATTCCAGGATTAAAGGACTAATGTCCTAGTAGGATCTTGATATATTCAGCCATTCGTTTATCTTCAGTTGAATTGATTACTGCAACAGTATCTTCACAGGTCTCCCTAAAAGGACAATCAGACAGCTGCAGCTGAAATTCTGCTGCCCACATCCTCGCTACAACTAAGAAAGTAAAGCACATCATCCAGTTCTAAAGTCCTTACACTGGCTCCCTCAAAGAATAACCTTTAACATACTTATGTTAGTTTATAAATCACTAAATTGTTTAGAACCAAAATACATTAAAGATTTGTTGTCATTGTCAATTTCTCAGACCAGTCAGATCTTCTGGTTCAAGTCTACTCTGCATACGCAGAATCAGAACCGAAAAGCAGCATTCAGTTATGATGCTCCACTAATCTGGAACAAACTTCCTGAAAACTGCAAAAATGCGGAATCCTTGAGTTCTTTTATATCGAGATCAAAAATGCATTTGTTTGGGCATGGTGCTGGCACAGCGGTGGAGTGCAAAGCCCATAGATAGAGAGGCTTTGGCCCTCAATGTGGCTGTCCCCTGGTTTGAGTCCTGGCCATGGCGACCTGTGCTGCATGTCTTTCTCACTCTTCACCCCATTTCCTGTCTGCCTGCTTTCAAAGAAAAAATACAAAATAAAGGCCACTAGTGCCACAAAACTTTAAAAAACCCATTGTTTAAGGTTTCTTTTGTATGTTCTTTTTAAACTATTAATTTAAACATCAGTAATTTCAGTCTGTAGCTCAACTTTTCAGTAGTTTCCTTTATTTTAGCCACTGCAAGTATTTTTTATGTGTTTTATTTTCTTATGATTTCATTAAATTGTCCTGCTGCTGAAATGTGCAACATTAATGAACTTGGCTTTAGAAGACAAACAGGTCTAAACCATTACAGATCCACCAACATACTTAACAGTGGCCATGAGGTGCTTTTCCACATTTTCATCTTTGTTTAACATGGAACCTTGCTAAAATGTTTGCTGCTAAAAAGCTAAATCTTAGTCTCCTCTGACCAAAGCACAATTCCCCATACAGTTTACATTTATGATGGTTGAAAAGAACAACCCCTATTTATGGCAGACCTCGCAAACAACCAGAAGGCTTGTATCTACTGTCTAATGGGGATGGAGACTTCTTGACCCCAAGATGTCACTTTTAGCTGCAGCTCTCTAACAGTGAGTTTTGATCATTTTTCTCTTTTTCTTCACCATCCTGCTCATTGAGTGTGATGCCAAGCCAAACTTTGGTCCTCATACAACCATGAGAGCATCAGTTGTTTTAAACTTTTTAATTATTGCTCTGACTGTTGATAAGGGTAAGTTTAGGCAAGCAGCTATTTTTCTTGTATTGTTTTTCTTGACTTGAAAATATTCAAAGATCTGCCTTACTTGAATGCTATGTTCGCTCGTTTGCTCAACGTATAAAGTGACAAATAAAAATGTTCTTCTGCTTTGCATTATACTTTTGGTTCAGGAAAAAGCCTTGGATTACTTAATAAAAATTCCAAGATATTTTGATCTCCTTAAAAAGTAATGTATAGGATAAAGAAATACTCCATATTAAATGATATTCTACAAATTGCTAGCAGTACCAATATTTGTACCACCGGAAAATTTGTTACAAAATAATTAGTGGTTATTTTATGACTTTTTTTTTTTTTTTTACTGAATATATGCTTTCAAATTAAAGGTTTGATTATTTTTCTCATTGTTTAAATTATGCTACTGCAATAAAAGATCAATTTCCTTTAAGGCATTATACAGGTCCTTCTCAAAATATTAGCATATTGTGATAAAGTTCATTATTTTCCATAATGTCATGATGAAAATTTAACATTCATATATTTTAGATTCATTGCACACTAACTGAAATATTTCAG